CGTACGACACACTACTACTACTTACCTTAACCTTAACCTAACTAACTTACTACTCGTCCTTCCTTCCTTCCTCGTACGTTAGAGTACTACTACTACCTACCCTCCTCTCTCTCTCTCTCTCTCTCTCTCTCTCTTTCTCTCTCTCTCTCTAGTACACTCATTCAAATGTTAAAACTCTCACCAAAACACCACCTCTATCTCATACGCGTTTCCCTCTGCCTTCCACTCTCTCTCTCTCTCTCTCTATCTCTGCAGAGTTTCTTCACCATTTCATGCTTCCAGTCCTCCTTTCCATAGGGATTGTGATGCTTATATGTAGGGATTAAGTTCCCTTGATGGGGGATAGAGCTGTTCTCTGACTCTTTCTCTGGGACTCAGAGGGTGGATTGCACCCCAACCAACCTTCCTTCATCTGTGGTCCACATTGTATTCACATTCAATTCCATGACGAGTTATTACGTTCCTAAGGAACACGCTCTTTGAGCCAGCAGGGTCCCCATTGGGAAATGTAGTTATTTAGGGACAATTTCCTAATACTTACCTTGTCATTTCCAATTATCAGCATTCTTCAAAAGGCTTTCATATTTCCGACTTGAGCTAATCCTTGAAGTATATCTCAGAGTGTAGATGGTTATATAACATGCGGTGCACCAGACGGTGCTGTAACCTCTCATCTTGAAAGATCGTCTAAGGGTATGGTTAGGTAAGGTTATATAACCAAATCAGCTCACTGATACTTTTTGCTTCAGAACTTAATTTACGTCCACTGATAGGATCGTATTCACCCAGAGTCTGTGCTACAAGCTATGTTAGCTTCCTTGACATCCTTTGAATATCTTGAATTTGTAGTGATCTTTAGCATTTCAACACCTTGTGGGCTTCACTTGAACCCCCAGCTAGATTTTGATACCTTGTACCTAACAGCCAATAAGGTCTCTCCTACCAAGTTAAGAGGGTGATACCTCCCTTCCCTGGAGTACACTATCGAGCTATCTGCTGGGTTACTCAAGGACCTGCTTGAACATCAAGTTGTGGAAGTGAAATTGCTGTGTGGAAAATCGTTTCACACTCAAATGAATTGAAATTGGAAAACCTGAATCAGTTGTGCTATGGGTTGCATCTGTAATTGGTGTATTAACTAAGTGAATATGCCTTACCTTTATTTAATGTGCACGTACAACTAATTTGTTTTGTTTGATTAATGACTTGCACGCGTAAGAGGGCTCTCGCCTTCTACATTTTCCTCGGACCTTAAATGCATATGCTGATTCAACATTTCCCTTCTATATACAGTTAAAGAAAAGTTGTTACTTTTCAGTTTAAGGGGAAAATTATTGATGAGGTAAGCCACTTACTATTTCTTATCAGAATAAAAGACTTGCACATGATAGTTTGGTCTTTTTCTTGATGATAGAATTAGTTTTGATATCATTTTATTACTTAAATGCTTGTTAGTTTATGAATATTTTTGTATGACATGCTTTATGTTCGAACTGAGATCTCTCTCTCTCTTTGCTTAACCTCGATACTTTCCATCGATATTTTCTTTCTGATCAAATAATAGTGAATTGCTTGATAGCATCATTTCAAATTTTTGGCCTTACGGAGTATGGGATGGATGAAAATTTGCAGATATGCTCAGTTTGGCGATGTTTCTCCTAAGGTGGATGTCTATGCCTTTGGAGTTGTTCTATATGAACTTATTTCAGCCAAGGAAGCAGTTGTAAAGACAGGTGGTTCTGTTACTGAATCGAAAGGACTTGTTGCCCTGGTTTGTTTCCCTTGCCCCTGTTTATTTCTCCACCATTAAAATCCTACGATAAAATGCAGTTGAGAATTACTTTTCTCTCTTGATGTTTGCAGTTTGAGAGCATTTTGAATGAACCTGATGCAAGGGAGAAACTCTACGAACTTGTAGACCCGAGACTTGGGGATAATTACCCTCTTGATCCAGTTTATAAGGTTCTAACAGAAGATTCAATCCAAAAACTTTTCTCAAGTTTAGAAGGCAAGACCACTAAAAAGTATGACGGGTGACCTTGATTTTATTTTTGCAGATGGCCCAGCTTGCAAAGGCTTGCACACAAGAGAACCCCCAGCTCAGACCGAGTATGAGGTCAATAGTGGTTGCTTTGATGACACTCTCATCATCAACTGAGGACTGGGATGTTGGCTCCTTATATGAAAATCAGGCCTTGGTGAATCTCATGTCAGGCAGATAGGATGTGATCTTATTTTCTAACATGGTGATGAGGAAGCTTTTGATCTGACTGTAAATGCTTGTAACAAAAAGAGATGAGTGTTGTTGGTTACGAGTCCAGCATGGTTGGAGCTCACTTGTTGTATGAGCAGTGAAAATATCATGTAACTAGATAGTGGCCAGAAAAGCATGCATCTGGCATGCTAGCGGTGTGCTTGAAGCGGTTGTACAAGATATTATTTTAGTGCTGTGAAAAGTACTGCTTCCGTTGTCATATATAGATGCAGGGCAAGCTTGAGTAATCATTATACTTCCTGAGCAAATAATATAAACAATAACAGATGCATCTGGCATGATTACATTTTTGTACATAGCAAATAAATGGCATTTCAATTTTTCTAAAATCCATAACATTGGTCAATGAATTTGGTAGAATCTAGCAGTAAATCTTATACCAAATTGTGACTTTGTGGAGCATTATTCATCTGTGCTCTCCAAATGAGTTCGAGCGTTTTTTGTCTTGCCAAAACTGTAGCTATGGAAGTCTTTTTTGCTGAGCAGCAGTAGGATTTTAGTTAGTGTTACCCCTACCCTCCATATTTCTCTGGTACTGTGACACATATACACCTCTAGATACTCGGCTGACATAATGTCTGTACATGTCAGCTAAGTTATCATTCAGAACAGTGGCGGTACTGTGACACATATACATGTTTAGATACACAGCTGACATAATGTCTGTACATGTCACCTAAGTTATCATTTATAACAATGGCTTTTGATAACCATGTAAAAGGGTGAAAGTACTCTATTACACCGCAACCGGAAGTGCAGTTAACGTTAAATGTGGGGAAAGTCGAAACATACTATTTTCCCCAAAACACTATTCACCTGAGGAAAGTTGCCCTTCAGGTGAAGGGTGTGCGGCAGGTTCTATTGATTTTTGTTCCCTAAAAATGTTGTGCTTCTCCTAATAAACTACTTAAGAAGAAAGAAAAGCCACTCACCATTGTGGATTCCCTTTGCAAATCCTAGAGGGTCGAAAAAAAACACAGCAGCCTCGTCTTCTTCAATCAGCAGTTTCCCTTGCAAATTATAGTCTTCTCAGGAGCTTCCCTTGTAAACCATATAGGCTTTTCAAACCATAGAGGGTTGAAGAAAAATGCAGCAGCCCCATCTTCTTCAACCAACAACTTCCCTATTTTCTTGAACCAACTTCTCTATCTTCTTCAACCAACAACTTCCCTTTGCAAACCCTAGAATGTTGAAGAAGAAATAGAATCACAATCATAAGAGAGTTGTAGCTTAAGAGATTTAAACCTCAAAAATCAGTGTATCGTTTATTACGATGATATACCCCAAATCTTTTTTTTTTCTCTTGTTATGTTTGCTTATTCCTTTATAAATGTGCTTCAAATTTTTTTATTGTTTATTTTTTATTTTTTATTTATTTTCTACTGGTTATTTGTATCATAGCACTGCAAACGTTTTTTTGTTTGGTTATTTTTTTTTCCATTTTCTGCATTTTGTGTAGATAGAATGAAAAATATCTCAAAGGCAGGATTTCAATATCGTTGATGGTGTTTATGGGGGGTTTTCATTGAATTGAATGGGTCAATAGAAATGAATTTTTTCTTGTGCTTTTTCTGCCCATTTTTTTGCATTTTCTTTTGTGCACGTTTTTGCCTATTTTCTGTTTTTTCCTCTATTTCCCCATTTCTTCGTATGGCTACTGTGACTTCAGAGACCTGTAAATCTAATGCTTCAGCTTGAGTGGCTTTAGTAAGTAGTCGAAGTTTTTTCAGTTTGGGTGGCTAATGTCTACTACCATATTAGTTGGTTAGTAGTCGAAGTTTTTTCAGTTTGGGTGGCTAATGTCTACTACCATATCAGTTGGTTAGTAATCGAAGTTTTTTAGTAAATTCGAGATATTGAAATTCGAGGTTTTTTATTGGTTTCTCAGTTCTCTTTTGATGCTATCTCTTTGATATGTGTTTCTCACAATCTTCGGAAATATGGCATTCGAAAGTTTCCTTGTTAATAGATACCATCGCCAAATGCTTTGATTTCACAAAGAATATGTGAATAAGATCAGATAAAGCAAGCATTTCAATTATTCTCTTTCTAATTTTCTGAATTTTAAATTTATTGACCAACTCGATTTCTTCCCTTTCCTGAGACTATATTTGTATGTTCCTTCATTTTTAAATATTCATCTCTTTATAAACACTGCTGATTTTTAAAATTTTGTTTATCATTTGTTCTTGGATTTTATTCTTAGAGTGTGAAAAAATTATATGATGCCTATTTTGCCTTTTCGTCATGCAATAATTTTTGCTAATTTCTATATTTTATGCACTGTTAATGCTTACCCATCTCATGTTTTCTCCTAATTTCAATTCTTTTCAATATGATAGTTGTTGCCTAGAAGTTGAAAATATAAGATTGTGGCTCAGAGCATATACGTGACACTTGAACATTGCCAATTGACTCCAATCAACTTGACCATCACAAATGCTTACTTGTTTGGTTTTTGTCTACTGTTTTATTGGACAAGAATATTAATGTTCTCTTTTTAGTTATTTTGATAAGGTTAGAGCATCAATGCCCCTGCTGCCTCCATGTTATCAAATAGTTAAGTTTTGAATTATCAAAAGCATAAAGGCATATGACATTCATATTGATTGTTAGTGTATGTACATACATACGTGTGCCATAATATTGTCACCTATATATATATATATATATATTAGTATTTCTTTGTTCAAGTGATTGCTTTCGTGTTATCAGTTTTTATGTATTGCTTCATGGTTATGAACATTTAGGTGCCATTAGAAAATGTCATCGGCCTTAACAAATAATGGAGGTTTACCTCGACGTTCTTAACGTCGTTGTCATATACCATGCAACACTGCTACGTCAAGTTCTCAAACAAATCTTGGTAGATTGTACTTTAGGTGTCTACGATGCACCTTTTTTCAGTGGTGCGATGATTATAATGAAGGGTTGAACTATGGAGAAAACTTGAGGCAACGGAATGTATCACAGAGGACTCAATCTCTTCAATTGCAAGAAGATGTCATCGTCAATAGAGAACAAAGGGTTATTCAAGAAACAATTGTTGATGAACTAGAGTGTGTGCAATGGGTTTTGTTTTTCTTGTGTGTAATCAACGCTTTACTTTTTTTAGTAATACTTATAAAATGTATTTGAAGGAATTAGGAGAAACTTACCTTCTAGATCAGTTGGTCCATCTCTAACTACTATATAGAAGCTCCTATGAGTATTGTAGTCTTAGATTTTGTAATTTAGTTCATCTACGTGCAAAGTTATGTATTATGCCAAAAGGTGAATGGTCATAGCTTTTTTTGCTATTAGAATGTGATTCTTATTGAATGATATGATGCTATGATATCTGAGTATGTAGTAATAAAAGTAAGCTGCTCCATCTGTATATTTGTCATGTACGACTATGTAGTGTATTAACTGTTGTTAACCATATATGTATGAGTTCTAATAGCGATGGGAGGAACTAACTAGATGTCTCCACAAGATGACAAACTTCTAAATGTGATGGCCCGTTGTGCTGAAGAAAACTTGATGATGAATGGGTTGTTCTGTAGGGAGGGATGAGCCAGAATTACACGTGAGATGTGTGACGCATATGGCCCAGGGTTTGACCAAAGAAGAATAAAGAATCGACTACGAACATTGATGACTAATTATAGTAATATTAAGAAACTTTTCGCAGAATCTGGGTTTGGACGGGTTGAAGAGAGGAGGATGATAATTGTAAATTGGGCAGTATGGAGGAGTATTGCCTGATATAGAATAATAATACTACTTTTTTTATTAAAATTATTTATTAAGTAAAATGTGTTTGTATGTTCATTTTGCAATATTGTCTTATCACAGAACCACAATTGGGCATCAAAATACAAGAGCAAGAGCTTCCATCAAATGGCTGGCATGGAATCTGTGTATGGGGAAGGGATAACTGAGAAAAATAGAAGTTCTTCTATCTTGGATGGTGCTGACTTGGAATCACCAGCTGTGGGGGACATTGAGCCAGAGCCAGAGGCTGAGGATCGGGATTGGATGCCACAATATGTGGAAGGCAATGTAGTGGATACAGAGGATATATCTAATACTGATGGCGGGGATGTTAGCGAGCCCTCCTCTAGGATCAGAAAGAGTAATCGTGGTCGGTCATCTACATCAGGGGGGACTCCTAGGAGGCAAGTAGGGGAAAACACAATAGGACAACAATTGGCTTATGCACTTAGTTCATTATCGACATCCATAGATAAGATGTTAGAATATTTGGTTAAGGTATTGGAACATTCGGCCCTCTTTCAGACAAAATGCATGGATGATGTGTCTGATGTTTACAAAGAGGAAGGTATTGATCCACAGTTGTACATTAGGGTTGCTGACTTATTTGTGGATCCCAAGAATGCCCGTATATTCCTATCGATTGCTCCACAGTACCGTAAGCTGTGGTTGCAGACCCATATCCTGCAGTGGTAGTTCTATGTTGGTTGGTTATGATGTTAAATTATGCTGACTTGGGAGAAGACTGTTTTTTTTTCTTTGTTTTTTATTATGCGTCAGATGACTTGGATGCTTTTGTTTTGCTTAGGTGGATGGCTTTATGTGGATGTTTTATTTTTTTGTATTTTAAGTGGATGGTTTATTTTTTTTTATGCTTTATGTGGATAGCCTTTATGTGGTTGGTGTATTTTTCTATTCTTTTATGTTGATGTTTTATTTTTCTATGCATTATGTGGATTTCCTTTTTTTATGGTTATTGTGGATTGTTTTTTTTTATAGATGGTTGTTTTTTTATGGTTTACGTGGATTGCTTTTTGTCTATACTTAAAGTTGATGGCTATTTTCGCATGGTTTATGTGGCTAGTTTTTTTTTTGCATGGCTTATGTGGCAGGGTTTTTTTTATTAGTTTATATAGATGGTTTTTTACTCCTGCCTGAAATGTACGTCTATGTTGGAATTCACAGTTTAGACTGTCAATATGGATCCATATGAGGTAAATGAGATTTAGCATATGCAGCAGCCTTGTGATGTGTTTGGTACTACTACAACTACCTGATACTGAGGAATGGTGTTCACACATGTTCTTTGACTGGTGCCGCATTTGTTTCTTATTTAATACAATCTCATGTGAACAATTGCTTCAATTTATTGCGGATGGACACATATGCCTTTCTAAGCTTGTGTGGAATTTTAAAGGAAGGTGATCTTCTTTGTAATTCTCAGTTTATGATGGTAGAAGAACAAGTAGCTATATTTCTAAATTCAATCGTACACAATGAGCATAATAGTGTGATGCAAATTC